ATACACATCCACATATACACCCGCAACACAGCAGTTCAGTGAAGCCGAATCAGGAATAAGCAGGTTCTGACCATGAGTAGGGCCACCATTTAGTTGGTGGGATCCCTTTTTTCCATTTTCAGCTAGGTATCTGACACAGGCTGATGTATTCATATTAGCTCCCTTAGCCACGTTTACTGGCTACATGCTAGTTCATGCTACAGTGCTCTTTTTAGATTTTAACTTTGGTTCAAATAGTGGGTGCTGTAAACAATATAGAATAGGGAAAGGCAGGCGCCTGGGTGGCTCAGTCGTTAAGCGTCTGCCTTCGGCTCAGGTCATGGTCCCAGGGTCCTGGGATCGAGCCCCACATCGAGCTCCCTGCTCCGCGGGAAGCCTGCTTCTCCCTCTCCCTCTGCCCCTGCTTGTGTTCCCTCTCTCTCTGTCTCTCTCTCTGTTAAAAAAAAAAAAAAAAGAATAGGGAAAGGCAAACTGTTTTGGTAGCAAATTGTAATGTACACGTTACTTCAAAACGAGTTTGAAAAACCGTTCTGCTGTGAACTGTATATGCTCCCAGTGATTTCCTTTACTGCTCAGCGTTGGTCTTCTCTGTTAGAAACACAAAAACATTTCAGTTTCAGCTAGCACCAGTGTAATAAAGACTGCAAGTCAAAAACCACCGCCCAGCCTACTCAGTTTCACACATCAAGCTGGAATTTTCCTTATGGGATTTTAATAAATGACTTCTTTTCTTCCCCCTCCAAATACAAAGAACATGATGTACAATACAAGGTTCAGATGTATTGTTCTGATCGTCCCATATCACAAAATACCATCCAAGGCTGCAGCTTAAAAATGTCGAGGCTCAGTAGAGGAGCTGGATGGTTTATGAATCATCTTGACCAGGAGAGGAAGAAATCGAGTTGTTGTATCCAGAAGCACAGGCCAAATCCTTTTTCTGTTAGAGGGAGTTCGGCAGATTACTTTAGGCCTTCCTGGGGGGTTGCAGGGGGAGAAAGAAAAAGATGTACTCCGACCCCCTGCAGCTCTTCCGCATTTTACTGTGGCTTCGACCACATTCCCACTTGGTGCCACCATTTTGCCTGAAACAGTGGTTCAATACAGTGAAGCCAAGACTTGGTTTGATAAAATATTAAACAATAACAATTGAATTGTCGGTTTGTATTATAAAAAAGCCTAAGTCAGTCAGACCAGCCAGGTGTATGGGGTGATGCTCAGCTATGAGGCAGTCAAGGGCAAGAGGATTCAGGCAGGTTGTCATGGAAAGTAATTCTTGCAACTACAGACCTGCCATCTATTGTGAATGCGAAATGCTAAGAGAATTCTATTCAGTGCGTTCGAGACATCCACATCTAAGTATCTTCAGTTGGAGAATCTCAAACTGAGGGGAGAGATCCATGTCCTACAATTTGGGTATCTCTTGTACAATAGAGAAGCGGCCAGGGATCTTCTCACTTTGGAAAGCTTCATCAGACAGTAACATAGTAACCGACAGTAACCCATCAGACATCATACAGTATCAGACATCTTATTTTTCATGGCTTTGACCTTTATCTCCTGAGCAATCCATTTCCTAAAATACATTATATTTAGGCACACTCTCCATAACCACTTTTAAACCACTTCTTTGGTAGAAGCTCAGACTGCTGAGATATAGAATCTATTTATGTTTTCTTAAATGATTTAATGCATTTTCAATACCAAAAAGTTTGAAAAATGACAGTTATGTATATCATATAACTAAAGAGAGTATTTTTCCAGCAGTTTCTTTCCATAATGGAGTCATCTATTTTCTGTTCATTTACTGTAAGTATTTCACCCCGAATTTGAACAATCTTTTGTAGCATTGATTCATCTTTGGTCACACAATTACTTTGGTATTAAAGGAGTGTCACACCTGATTAGATTGGGGAAACATCTCAAAATATTTTTTAAACAAAGTGAAATAACTTTTCATATTTCCGTTTTTCTTCCCCAACAACAATTTTCAGACATTTCTGTTTCTTGTTTATGATCAAATGAGAGCAACAAGTAAACGTGTTACTTTCCTGGGGGGGCTGCTACTGTGGACAGACATGACACCATTTTATGGAAAGGGTTTGTCTTCCCAGAATCATGTCTGGAAATTTATACCCTGGGCAGTAAGGTAAGCACAGATCTTGGTCGGCTTTGCTTTGACGGAACAAAGCAAGTGGGTGAATGGGAACCTAGGCTGTATCAGCTACAAGGAAGGAAATATTTTTCGTATGATATTTAAATAGTGAGTTCTGTCTCTTTTTTTGCCAGCTATAGTGTGCCGACCTTATTGGTCTGTGTCCATATTCACATTGTTTTTGCCATAACAACCAAGCATGTCAAGTTAAATGTCTTACGTGGCATGTTGTCACCTGAAGTGATGGCGATTGTCATATTTTTATATTCAGAGAATTGATGAGTGAAAGTGAGGGTTTGCCTAAGAGACTTTTAGTTTAAATATAAAGAACGTCCAGTTTTGCCTCTATCTCATGAACTCTAGTTGTCAAGGGGCAGAGAGGAGAAGTTCTAGCAACTACTGGCCATATCAGATAGAAGGAAGAAAATTCAAGAAATCCCAGTGACCATGGCTGGAGTAGCAGGAGGGAAAAGATGAGGCAAAGAGCAATTCTAAGTTTAAATGAATTGTCTTCAGTTCTTTAGGTTTTAAAGTTAATTTCCAAGACAGCAGCAATGTGGCAGGGTTCTTAGTTTTAACTTAGATCTTATTTTACAATAGAATGCAATAGGAAAGCTCTTTCAGCCTACAGACATTCATTTTATCACGAGATTTACAAAAGTGATTTTTTTTTTTTTTTTTTTTTTTTACACCGTGAGGTCAGAGATGCAAAAACAGCTATTGGAGACAAGGTGATAGCCCTGAACCATCATTTTCTGACCTGGAGCTAATAAGAATTGCTTTTGTTATTCTTTGAGGGTCCAGATAGGGTATTCAGATCTTATTTTGAGTGTAGTTATTAATTAGGCATGTTATTTGGTATACTTCTCTATCGATCATTCTCCATCTATTTCATTAATAACAAAATATCGATGTACATTCATTGTTGCGATAACTTAACTGTAGGTCATCTGAGCCTCTACCTTTTCAGCTCTCCAATCATGCTTTAATCAATGTAGCCCCATGCCCACAGTCCTGTCACCATGTCACCGTTCCTGAAAACATTTGAGCTGTGTCTACTCACAGAACTCTGGTCCTGGTAAGAAGTAAAGAATGGAACCTGACATTACACCATTGGTTTCAGGACAGACTCTCTCTGTGTTCTGACCAGGGCCCTGTGCTGATAGGTTTGTTTCTTCCCTGAAACCTCTCCCTCTGAGACGTCATGTCTGTAAAAACCCATCAACTCCCATTCTCCCAAATAGCTGGGTCTGTGGGAAAATGACTCTTTCTTTCTATGCACACATTATTCTAAATCATGAATAGCCACACCCTCAATGTGCAGGTGCTGATATCCATATGGAGAATTAAGGCGTTCCTGGTGTTGGTCATTTACAAAAGTGGCTTGGCCTGCCTCTTGGAAGCTGGAACATAAGGGGTGCTCTTATATGTCCAAGAGAGAAGCCATGAGCTCCCAGTAGAGGGACAGGAATGTCTAGGAAGAGCTCCCACTTAGCAGGTGTTATAATGACACCAGACGTGGAGAAGAATTTTGATATGTGCAAAAGAGAAACCTAGGGTGGCCTTTCTTTTCTCCAGTGACTATTTCAGTCAGTGTGATTTACAAAATCTTTGGCATTTTCATTGTGTAACTATAGCGCATTCATATTACATATAATCCTAGATATTGTTTCCTTTGCAGATCAGATCTGATTTTCTTTTAAAAGCTTTTATAAATTGTTCATCTTTAAGTATTTTCCATGAGTTATTGAATTCTAAATATTTCTAAGCAATTTCTGGATTTTACCTGGTGTGATATAGGGCCTCGTGTGCACATGGCCTGTGAGACTGAGTGAGCTCATGAAGGACGTGGGTGTAGATGGAGAGGTCCAGGAGGCACGAGCCCATGATGTCCAGGAGGCCACGAGCCCATGGTGTCCTGAAAGACAATAGAGGCAGCTTTCCAGGAAAGCAGAGGAATCGCCATGAGATAGTGCTGGGAGGTCAAGGAAAATGAACACCAAGAGTTGAAAACTGGATTTCGGAATGCACATGTCATTGGTGACTCCCACCAAAGTGATTCTGGTGGAACATTGGGGGGCAAAAGTTAATCGGAGCGGCTTCAACAGCGGAGAGGAGAAGAATTTAAGATAATAAAGAAAGACAACTCCTTCGAGGTTTCTGTGTTAGAAGAGGAGGCAGAAAAGTGACAGGATAGCCTAGAGAGAAAGTAAGACTACATTTTTGTTAGACTGGGGTATTTTATTGATTTTTCGTATTTTGAGATAATTTTTAAGATTGAGAAATAACATATTTGTTTCCTGATGGGGAGATAAAAGTTGACAGTTGGAGGAATATAAAAAATTTTCTGATAAAATAATTTCTACAACAGAGTGCTTAGAGCGGTTATTCTTTCTGAAAGAAACCCATGTTCTCTTGCCCATCATGGATACATAACACAAGTGAGGAGGCAGGACACGTTTCTTCTGTCTCTGGGCTTTCATGGTAAACCCACCTTTTATCCTCAGTTGTTGACTAAGCCCAGATATAATTGCCTTTTGGAAATGTTTTATAAACACTCAACTACATTTTAAACCCCAACTTTGTGAGTTAATGTTGTAATTATACTTCTTGTTTCTAACGTACTCACTTTAAATTGAATAATCAGACAAAATGAAGTCAACAGTATCAGGTGAAACTCTTTTCTTTCACTTCTCAAGCAATACTGTAATGCTTTATTTATCTCAATAGACTAATTGGTGTGGAACGTTTTGAGTCAATATGTCACCGATCTAAAATGGTCATATAACGAGTGGATCCGCGTGGCCATAATTACCCTGTGAATTGTTTTCTTTCTCCCCTGCAATAGCTTTGTGTCAACATGACCAATGAGAAGATGCACCACTACATCAATGAAGTGCTTTTTCTACACGAGCAAACAGAATGTGTACAAGAGGGAGTTACCATGGAAACAACTTATTCTCCTGGTAACCAGACTGGAGTTTTGGATTTTTTTTTCCAGGTATTCCTATAATATAATTAGATACTTTACAGGATTTAAATCTACTGAAGACAAAGAATTTTCTTTCAAGGGGCCTTAATTTTGAGATGGCTTTATATCTGAGACTTCACTGTATTTACTTTTCAGAATTTTTTCGGAAATTTATTTTTTCAGAGTTGATTCGGGAGTGCAAGTTACCCTCTTCCTGAAGGGGCATTTGAAGGATCATCAGTTCATTGAAAGGACCAGAAATACCAGATCATTTTATTATAAAAATATTCAGCATTGGTTATGTCAATAAAACTCTTCTTTTGGCATAGTTACAAATGCTCAATGTACAGAATTAATATTTTATAAAACAATACTAAGACTAACAAGCTCATAGAACATATTCAACAGGATCTTTTTAATTTATCTTCAAAGTTTTTAAATTGAAATGTGGAAAAACATTGGCAGAAAAATATGTTTACGTACATATAATCTTAGGACATCTGCTGGTGTCGACCCTTACCTTTATTATTTCTACCTTATAATGCAAGAATCTTTGCCTCAATATCTCTATCATAAAAACAAAAATCTACCAAACAAACAGCAATCCCTCTGTACTAATGTAGTAAGGCATGATACACATCTATCAATAATATCTCTAAAACACTTGAACATTGTTTAAAACTGGTACGTTTCAGCCACTGGAGAACATAGGCTGTAATTTTCTACCCTTTATTTCTATAAACGTAGACTTGTAAATTTATTTTATACAATTACCTAGTATGTAAAATATTCTTGTTCCTCTTACCAACTTGTCAACCTTCTTTATTTTAATGACAGAAGAAGCCCTCTTCCTACAGAAACCTCTCCCTCATCATGACACACATGGCATATAACTTCTCTATGTGAGGCTTAAAAATGTCTTCAAGCAGGGGCGCCTGGGTGGCTCAGTCGTTGAGCGTCTGCCTTCGGCTCAGGTCATGATCTCGGGGTCCTGGGATCGAGGCCCCGCATCGGGCTCCCTGCTCTGCGGGGAGCCTGCTTCTCCCTCTCCCACTCCCCCTGCTTGTGTTCCCTCTCTCGCTGAGTCTCTGTCAAATAAATAAATAAAATCTTTAAAAAAAATGTCTTCAAACCAACAGCAATATATAGTGAACTGTGTATGGGAAGCCTCAGACACCCGCTGCCCTCATTCTTGCTTGCTGCTGTGTTCTCGACTGCTAACCGGTAGCCAGCAGAATGACGTTCTTTCTGTGTCTTCGATGGCCTTGATATTCTTTCTACCTCTTTGATGGCCATCCTTGAGATTTCACCATGGAGTGAGGATTATTTCCTTTCAATAAGAGGACCCTCATCGGTATGAGTTGGAAACGAGAGTGGGTATTTCTGACTGCCACTTCTCTTTGATACCCATAAAAATGAAAAGATGTACCAAATATAGGGGGAAGCTTGGTTGTTTACCTACAAATCTGCAGGTCTGTGTACCAGGCAGGCATACCCTACAGTAGAAAGGAAGCTTATTGTTTCCTTCCTAGTACCCATAATCCTCTACTGCTCACAAACATCTGCGATTTTTGCTTAAGCCACATCCATATTTCAGTGAACATGTATTTGTCTTATGTCCACGAACAGAGGAGGTGGATCCAGATTCCCACCTGACTCTCTACGTGTCTAGTGCATTTTGTTACCCTGTCGGTCCTCAGTGCTTTCTGTTGTCAAGGTGAAATGGCATACATTTCATAGAACAATTCAGTCTCTCCCAAGCCCTCGGTTCTGAGGGAATTGAAGGCCATTTTTTATGACTTCTTCTCCGTGTTCTATTTTTCTTCTTTAGACACTTCACCAAGTTTCCAAGTCTATAAGTTTGATTACCACCATTCTTTCATGGCTTTGTATCAGACATCCAAAAAACATAATACATATGAATTTTAAAACTTTTGGAGACAATCCAAATTGTAACGCTTTAAAAAAATATCTTGTGCTGGCGCGCCTGGGTGGCTCAGTCAGTTAAGCGTCTGCCTTCGGCTCAGGTCATGGTCTCCGGGTCCTGGGATGGAGCCCCGTGTTGGGCTTCCCGCTCAGCGGGGGGTCCGCTTCTCCCTCTCTCTCCCTCTGCCCCTCCCCACTGCTCGTTCTCTCTCTCTCTCTGTCTCTCAAATAAATAAAATCTTTAAAAAAAATAATAAAAAAAATACCTTGTGCTATACACAACTAATCGATCACTGAACCTTATGTCAAAAACTAATGATGTACTATATGTTGGCTAATTGAATTTTTAAAACAATTTAAAAAATAAAATATTTGGTAGAATTAAAAAAATATATCTTGTTGTGGGCTATTTTGGAAGTGATCCCTTCCCTTATACTACTTGGGGCCTTGACTTTGAGTTACTGAAACACCCACTAGAGCTCTAAATTCTAGCCTCCAAAAAGGTCTGTCACTGCCCCCAAAATATGGATGCATTTGTAACATCCTTAACTAGCCCATTCACCCTTCCACTTGGTGCCTGTGTGTGCTCACATGCGTGTGTGTGTGTGGGGGGGTAAGTGTAACAGTATATGGAGGAGTGTCATGGTGTGATGCTCAAATGCACAGGTAAAGAAGTAGCCGCTGATCTTGTGGATCAACATCTTACTCTTCAGCAAATAGGATGCTATACATTGAAATGAAGAATCTGATCTTTCAACAAATCCCAGGCAAGACCAGTCCTCTGCCAACTCCTCATTGATTTTTCTTTTAGGGCCTCTCTCCATCCATTTTGTGTACCCATACTTTTATTTTGTTCACCTCTGACTCTTTATAGGGTCCCTGGTTCTCTGAGAATGTACCATACATTGGACTTCCTTCACCACATCCCCTTATCAGATATATTTCTGTGTTGGTAACACAAGTCCCCGGAGGTGTTAGTGACCTAGGTCGTTTGCTGAGATGGGTCAACTTGCTTCTTGCAGGCCTTCCCAATTCCTTCCTAGTGCCCCTTCCCCCTTTATCAGTCATTCTTCTCCTTCCTTCTCAGGGAGGCTGTCTATCTGCTTATTCCAGAGATGGTCCTTCAGTTGCCAAACGTCTCCCGAAGGGCTCCCCCTGGTACGTGAGCCCCCACCAGGCATAGGTCCTTCCCATGACTGCCACTTCCAGCCTTTCTTCTCTGTGGGTGGCACTGGAAGGATCTCGACATTTGGAGCTCTGAGACAACTGTAGACAGTCTTTGCATTTTCTTTACCATGAGCAGGAAACTCCAAAAGGCTTAAAGCAACTACAACATTTCAGCCACAAAGAAACAACTTTCTCTTGGCCAGATGAATAATATGAGACGCCTGTGGTGGTTTGGTTTGGTGACCTTGGGTCAAAATACAAACCGAATGGCTATAGGGGCCAATAGAGACCTCTTCACTTCCTGAGAAGAATTATTTTATGGTATTCACACTTCCAAAAGCACACTTGAGTTGATGTGAAGAATTCAGATATATGACAGAATGAGGTAAATAAATAATACAAATTTATTTTTAAAGGTAGATTTGACATGTCAACAGAAGAACTTTCCTAGGGAAGAAAAGATAAACAGCACAGCAGTGGGTCAGAGTTACTCACCTGATGTGTAAACCACGCAGGCACAGTGATGTTCTGTGTGTGGGGAACGAACTGTCAGGGTAAATGGAGAAGTTCTTTCAAGCAGCGTTTCCCTTCATGTGAGGTTAATTTTAAGTGGTTGCTTATACATGACTTTAGCTTCTGTCTTTGACAGCTATAAACTGTCAGACTTCTAATTTGAATTTTACATGTTATAACTTCCAACTTTATTTTTTCTAGGTCTTAATATTGGAATATTATAGTCACTTCTACTTCCTGCTGAATAGGGTTTTTCTACAATTTTTATGACTCAAATGATTGTAGGTTCTGTTTTTGGAGAAGTTACTTGACCCATCATAACTGTGAAGTGGTCGATACGGGTTAGAGGTCAAGAAAAATTACACTTCTCCTTTAGTTGGAAAGTTTAGTTTTCTTTTTGAGATGAGAATATAATTTTTAGTAACTCCGGTGTTTGAATGACATTAAAACACACTCTTTAATTGATTTTTTCATTATCAATTATTAATCAACCGATACTGTTTGGGGTCTACATTGCATCAGAATTCTGCTGGGTGTTGGGGATACAGTAGTGAGCAAACATAGACGTGTATTAAAAGTAGACTAATTCATTTTTTGAGTGCTTATATGAACATAATGAAAATACAAATGAGCATACATGTACAATAATAACAAAACCATCAAATTGAGTAATAGAAGAAAAATACTATCTTTTCTTGATTTTCAGAAGCCATCTGGATTTCTGTCTTTATTGGATGAAGAAAGTCAGATGATTTGGTCAATGGAACCAAATCTTCCCAAAAAGCTACAGAGTCTCCTCGAAGCGTCAAACACAAACGCGGTCTATTCCCCCATGAAGGATGGGAACGGGAACATGGCACTCAAAGACCAGGGTACGGCGTTCACTACCATGCACTACGCAGGAAGGGTAAGTGCAGAGAGCGGCATATGATATAGCACGTACACTAGGGGACCAAATGTCTTCAGGACAAGCTTTCAAGTTTTAGACATTTTAGAGTTTATTATTTCAATGAATGGAAGTTGGGCGAACAACCCACACATTTTTACTTTTCTAAGCTCTTTTATTATAACCTGAGAAGGACTTTGCATCTTCAGAATGTGGGTGATGAATCAGGTGGTCAGATCCTTCTGTACTGTTCCCCAGATTATAACATAATGTGAGCAAAAGCGCCTTGGTTTTAATACAGACAGCTCTGCTCTGAACTTTGGGATCCCTTCATTATCCAAGCAGATATTCGTCTTCTGACTTTACTTGCCCTCAGTGTAGTTTTGGTATTAAGTTATTTTTCTTACAGCATGTCAACCTGAGTAAAGAGAGCTACTCTCCACCCTCTCTCAGTTCCCTAACCGGCTTAGTAAAAGGTGCTTCTTTCTTGAACACCTTCAAGGACCCCCCTTACTTGTCTACAAAACCTCACACCCCTTAGGCTCTGGGCTGATATCCCAGGCCTCTCTGAGCTGATGCCACTCATTTCAGCCATGACTTCTGTGTCACAACCCCCTTAGCCGAAACCTCTCTTCAGGTGACTTTTCTAATTCACTCACTGTCTCCTGCATTCCGCACCCCTGGGGGCCCCCACTCCTCCTGCTTCCAGCTTAGAGCACCCTCCTTGTCCTCTTCACAAGGTCACATCATATCCATTTTTTGATACTCAAATCCACATTCCATTTACCTTCCATCCAGGCCCATCTATGGTTACTGTCATCCGCCTATGAATTTGTGGCCCCTGGGTTTCCCCCATTTGGCGCTTAGCAGAAGTTACCTCTCGGAGGGTGAAACCTCCAGTCAGTGTGTTTCAGGTCATTTCAGTCCCTGTTCACTGAGAGTGTTAGAGAAGCAAAGATGAAGAAACCAAATTCCTTGCACTCACATATCTCACTGTTGACAAATAAGGAAAAGGCAAATTATCAAATAATTATGATATAATTTGCTTATAATAACATGGGTAATGTTAACCAAGTTCTGTATTACCCTGGAGAAGGAAGCAATCATTCGGCTCCCAGAGAAAGTGTAGAAATATTTTCTAGAGGAGGTCAAATGTGGCCCAGGCCTTTGGGGATGTTAGAGCTCAGTAAGGATAAAGGGAGGGAGCATTCTGGTGGAGACATGGACCTTTGAATGGCATGTCCATCCCCCAGGACTCCGTTGCCTAGGGCAGAGTCCACTATCGCTGTTCGAGTGGAAAATAATTTGGTATAGGAAGATAATTGTCGGGAGACTCTAAGTTGAACATTCAGGAATGACTCGAAACCACACCACAGGACGGGGCTTCCAACATCACTGTGACTTCGTCTTTGATCCAGAGGTTTCCAGCCAAATGGAGAACCTGCTGCCCCAGGTACTGACCCTCAGTTCCCGCCACCCACGGCTGACACCGGGAAAGTGCCCGTCCACTGGTAGTCAGCACAGAGAAGTCAGTGAGCCAGTGACCAGGCCGGGAGGTCTCCATTGCCAGAGAAGATAGCATCATCATAACATGCTTATGAGACACACAGGAGACGCAACTGAAGCACGGCCTCCACCACGCCTACCTTCGGAATCTTGAGCAGTAGTGCCAGACTGGTAGAAGCTAAAGAACAATCAGTTGCTAGCTGCAAGGAAGCCTGGGAATTTTCCCACCTTCTAACGTGTGCAGTGCAAGAAGGCGGCTTTTGCTGAGAGTGCTGTGGGCCCTTCTGCCATGTCCACCCACCCTGCGTTTGGGAAACGGTACAAGAAGTACAGTTAAGTCTCTAGAGATTGGCTGGAGATAAGTCTTGAAAAAAACTGTTTTTGGACCAATTCATGAATAAATATACATGTACTACTCAGGGCTTTGTCCTCTCGACGGTGTTAACTCCCCACATATTTTCAGACAGTGTGGGGGATGAAGTAAGGAAAACAGAGGACACGGTAGAGGGTGGATTGGGGGACAGAAGAAGGTGGTTATGGGAACGCTCAAGCGAGAACTGCCTTTGGACCATAGCAGAGGATCGCAGAGGGGGTGTTCTGAAGACGAGGCTGCCGTGCTGCCTGATGGGATGTCCCAAGCAGGGGAGGGGCCATAACTTGAAATGGCAGGCGTCTCTCTCTCCCCTCTGTGGATGGATGGTGCCAGTGCCAACCACGAGAGGAATCCCGGAGAAGAGGCAGTCTGGAAGGAAAGAGACTCAGTGTGGATGTTTCGAATTCGAAGTTTTTAGTAGAAACTTCAATAGGATGTGACAAGTAAAAGAGGTTGGTTGTTTTTAGAAACATAGACATATTTGTGGAAGTGTGTATCTTGGTAATTTACCTCAGGAAGAACATGGAGAAGATGGAGAAAAGGAGCAGGGAATTGAATCATGGAAACCAAGAGAAAAGAAGGGGGTATGGGGTCAGCAGGAGGCACACCTGAGTGGAACAGGTCGTCCAGGAGCGCCCCGGGGAGACGTCGTCGTATCATGGTGCCGTGGGAAGGACTGAGGGGTGAATGGCCGTGGAGAGGGCCTCAGTGCAAGATTTTATACACACACACACGCACACGCACGTTCCTAGAGTGTTATTAACTACCTTTTACGTATGAGAGATTTAGCCTTTTACATTTTTTATAATGGTAGCGAAACTTCTAGTCCTGGATTTGAATTTTTAATCTATATTTTCTTCATATTGAGCATTTATTAATTTATAGGATTTAGCTGAAATATTATGGTAAGACATAAGTAGTGATTTTGGAAAACTACTTTCCCATTTTCCTCTGAGTTTCATGGAAGCTATCTTAAGTCCGTCTATACGTGGCCCGCCTCGTATTGAATCTTGGAGATATATCAGATTGTTCAATAAGTGCTAATTGCATTAAACAGAATGGGACCAAGCTTTGGAATAATATTTTGTTTATTAATTATTTTATGTTTACTTTCAAAAATTATTCTACAACCACTTAATAGAATTCCAGTTTCAAGTTTTTTTTTTTTAAATTTGGGGAAAAACAATGAACGGTTTGAATAAATACAGTTATTTCACTGAGCTCTGATAGCAATAAAGCAGAGCAGAGCCAGTCAATTGATTAGCTGCCACAGAGCCAAACCCCATGGAATTATGAATTTTTATGTATAAGTGCCTTTATGTTTTAAGCAGGATTTTCCATAATTGGAGTCAATTTTGTGGTTTTATAAAAATCTTTCATTTTACTGAGATCTAATGAGTCTTAGCCCAAGGACTCCCTGAGGACTCATTCACATGTTACAGTATAGATTATATGTAATTTGTGGCAATATGTCAAGCCATATGCCTTTCTAATCATCAGATGTAGCTACATATATTTAATTTTGAGCTACTGCATTTTCAAGGAAAGCAGCGTACTCTGCATTTTATAAATGAAGAGACATAGCAAAGAGCTAATTGGTTTAGAAACAGCATGCACGATCTGTTTTGGACAGTAGTATGAGCATTCCTGAAGGGCCCTTTGGTGATAAAGCTGATCCCAGGGAAGGAGCTCAGTAGCTCTGGGGTTCTTAGGTTTCTTTGTGGCCTCTTCTTTGGCCAGATGGATGGGCTAGAGCGTCGCTCGGATCACCACGTGCTCTTCTGTGACTGGGTTACCTGGTTTCGCAAGTGAAAACTTACCTCTCACAGGAAGGATGAGCGTTGTGGCCAGTGATGATACTGACATCCAGCCTGCCAGGAAGGACTCTTCTGCTCTGACTCTGAGACCCCGCCATGCTTCTGAATCCTGTTTGGAGCAGAGGCTCCTAGGTCCTTTTAGAAATGTTTAAGCAACATTATTTAAATTATAGCTGAAGATCTTTCCTAAACACATTTGAATTTTTCATTAGTCATAGGAGCCTTGTGTGTTTTCCAATCTCCATTACAGAAATATTTTAAAGTAAATGGGAAGAGGCTATGCATGAAATATTAACAGGGTCTCATTAATGAGCATGGATCTGAATTAAAGAAGGCTGAGGGGGTTTTTTTGTTGTTATTTGTTTTAGCAAATTTTAAATCATATATGGATTAGCTGTTTTAGGAATTGTCTTAAACTTCCAATGGTGATTTAAATGATGGATATGCATTAAATCCAGAAGTGTGTCTAATTTTATTGGCTTTTAAAATTAAGAATCTTGAGAGAAAGAAGAATTATGATTTGGAAAAAGACATTGGCTCTCAGGAAATTTGAATTTCCATTAAGGTGATTCTGAACTAACTCTAAAAGGAAATAGCATTTTGAAGGTCCTAAATTTTAATGTGAGAAAAGTGAATAGATTAGGAGATACTAAAGCTATCTGAAGTAATAAAAATTAAATTAATGAAAATACAGGTCAAAGTAATAGTTATAAAATATATGATACTTGCCTATCTGACGTTTGTTTTCTGCTCGTAAGGTCTTTGTCTGAAAGTTGTTTATGGCGATAATTTGTTTTAACACAAAATGATTCTCTTTGGATCCCAGATGGGTGTCCTGTATGACCGGCCTGGTTTATGGAAAATCAAACTGGTGATATCGTTCTTGCCTGAGATGATGTGTCTGTGTTTCGGCCTCCTTTTCTCCCCAAACCCTTAATATTGCGGTGGGCTGAATGGTGGCCCCCCAAAAAGATAGGGCCATGTGCTTATCCCTAGACCCTGGCAATAGAATATTATTTGGAAAAGGGGCCTTTGCTTATGTAATGAAGTCCAGGATCTCGAGGTGAGGAGATCACCCTGGATGATCTGGGGGAGCTCTAAATCCAAGGGCAAGTATCCTTCTGAGAAGGAAGCAGAGAGAGAGATGGGAGAGAGAAGGAGGTCATACAAGCAAGGAGGCGGGGACAGAAGACATGCGGCCCCAGGGCAGGAAGCTCCAGGACCCCCAGAAGCTAGGAAAGGAAGGAAGGCGTGTCCTGTAGAGCCTCCAGGAGTGTAAAGATGCCCGATGTCAGAGATCTGGCCTCCAGAACTGTGAAAGAACA